ATCTTAATTTTTTTCTTTTTCATTTTAAATATATATTTCATTTAGTCTAAACATATTTTTACTGTAAATTATTCTTTAATCATATAATAATAACTTAAGAAAGCTTAAATCTATAGTAGGAGTGTGACTTTTTGGAAATTATGAGTGGGGTTGTAAGTGTGATAAAAATGAGATAGTAATGTTTTCTTGTAATATTTCAAGCAATAAAGACAATGGACTGAATTTTTTAAGATATTAATATGAATTTAAATAATTATGAAAATCTTAACCCTAACACAACTTTATTTCCAAAAATGTTACAACAAACAAACATAATTTTTAATATTTTTATTATCCTCCTAATTTATTATTAATTTATAAAAAAATATTACAATATCAAATAAATCAAAAAATTAAAAAAAATAATCATATAAAAAAAATAAAAAAATAAAATTTAAAAATATATTTTAAAAATATTATTTTACTACTTTCAACAATAAATCTAAATATATTATTAATCTAATAAATATATAAATCTTTTTAAAACTATAAATTTTAAATAAAATATTATAATATTATATATATATATATTTATTTTACTTAATATATATTTAAAAAATTAATCAATTGTTTTAAAAACTAATCGATTAATTTTTCAATTATTGAATTATAATCGATTATTTTTCAAACAACCGATTTTTTTCTCAAATAATAGATTATAATCCATTATAATCAATTAAATTTTCAAATATACATTAAATAATTACAAATAAAAATATATATCAAATTAAAATTAAATAAAATAAATATTTATAAATTATATATATATATATATATATATATATTATAAATTATAATTATAAAGTTAAAAAAAATTATATTTAAAATTATAATCTTAAAATAAATTATAATTATAAAATTAATAAAAATATAACTATTTTTAATATTAAATAAATTATATATATTATATAAATTATAATTATATATATATTAAATAAATTAAAATTACATATAAACTTTAAATTAATTATATATATATATATATATATATATATATATTTTGCATAAATTAAAATAAAAATTATCAACTTAAAAAAAATTATATTTAGAATTATAATATATGTCTTCCAAAATATAACTTCATTTCATTTCTAAAATATAATATATATATATATATATATATATATATATATATATATATATTCCAAAATATTAAAAAACACAACAAAAAAATACATTTCAAAAATATACTTTTACATCAAAATATTATTTCCTCCTAATATATTATTAATTTCTAAAAAAAATATTACAATATTAAATAAATTAAAGAATTAAAAAAAATTAATCATACAAGTAAAATATAAATAATATTTAATAATATATTTTAAAAATATTATTTTACTACTTTTAATAATAAATCTAAATATATTATTAATTTAATAAATATATAAATCTTTTTAAAACTATAAATTTTAAATAAAACATTATAATATTATATATATATATATATATATATATATATATATATATATAGTTTTACTATTTGAGAAACTAATCTATTATTTCAAAAATTAATGGATTAGTTTTTCCATTACTCAATAATGAAAACTGGTTATTTTTTTAAATAATTGATTATAATCTATTAGTTTTTTAAATAATCAATTAGTTTTTTAAATATATATTAAATAATTACAAATAAAAATATATATAAATTTAAAATTAAAAAATAATTATTTATAAATTATAATTATAAAGTAAAAAAATTATATTTAAAATTATAACCTTAAAAAGTTTATAATTATAAATAAAAATATAACTATTTTTAATGTTAAATAAATTATTTATATTATATAAATTATATATATATATATTTGCATAAATTAAAAGAATAATTATCAACTTAAAAGTAAATTATATTTTGCATAAATTAAAATAATAATTATCAACTTAAAAATAAATTTTATTTTGAATTATAATATATATATATATATATATATATATATATATTCCAAAATAAAAAAAAATACATTTCAAAGATATAATTTTGCATCAAAATATTATTTCATCTCTTTTATATATATATATATATATATATATATATATAATTTTTAAGATTTTTATTATCCTCCTAAGTTATTAATAATTTCTAAAAAAATATTACAATATCAAATAAATAAAAAAATTTAATCATACAAATAAAATATAAATATTGTATTTAATAATATATTTAAAAAAATATTATTTTACTACTTTCAACAATAAATCTAAATATATTATTAATTTAAAAAATACATAAATATTTTTAAAATTATAATTTAAAACTATAAATTTTAAATAAAATATTATAATATTATATATATATATATTTATATATATATATATATATATTAGTTTTTATTTTTTAGTAAAATAAACAAAAATTATAAAAAAATAAAAACAATTCAAAATTTGGTTGACGGAAAACAGAATTTTAAATGGTTTAAAAAGAAAAATATGCCACTACGTTCATGTCTTGTGCACTAGGAAATCAAATTCTCAACTTAAAAAAAACAGTGTTAGGTAGGTAAATAAAATCTACATTCTACTATTTGAGTAATTAAAAAGCGAATTTGTGCCAGGGGAGAAAAAATTTCGTCAAATTACGCTTTTAATTATAATTTGCGAAAATGTTTTCTTTTTTCTCTAAAAGAGTTATGATTAATTGACATACACTTTCAATAAAAAATATATATTTAATCCCCCTTATTTTTTACTATATAATTAATAGAATATCTTTAAATCTAAATTAAAAACATCAATTTATGAATATTGTATGGTGTTTGATAAATTGAAAGTGTATGTATGGCATCTTACTTTTTAAAATACGTTTTTAATTTCTTAAAATATTAATTACGTTTTCAATAAACTGTTGGTATTAGTCTCGTAAAATTTAAAACATTTCTTTTATATTCTCTAAACCATAAACATATTTTTTTAGTTACTTATAGTAATAAAAATAAGATAATTAAAAATATTATAAATAATATATTTTTTAAAATATTATTTACTAAAATTTATTTATTTATATTTATTTAGTGTTTATACATATAATTTAATTGTCAAATTTTAAATTTGTTAACATAAAATAATTATTCTTCACTCTTGTCACTTTTTTTTATTTCTTATTTTATTTTTATACTTTTCATTCATTTTTTATTTTTCTCTTTTCATAATTTCTTTGTTTATTTTTCTCTTTCCCCCTCACTCTATCTTTTGTTTTTTTATCTCCTATCTTAATCATCTACTTAAAATTACTAAATTAAATTTTGATAAAAACATATTAGGTATATTTTGTTAAAAGTTGAAATAATATAATAAAGAAACTAATATATATTTTGTTAAAAAACCTATATTTTTAGATTTCTAAATTTATCACATGTATTTTTTTTATCAATTATCTATAATTATATATGAAAGTAATTTTTATCCAAACTAATGAAATTATTTAAATTTAATATGTATATATGTATATATATATATATATATATATATATATATATACATATATATAATTAGTTAATCTTTTAATATTTTAATAATATCACAAATGCTAATAAATAAATAAATAGATTTTAATTATAATGAGTAAAATTTTCATGTGTAAAATATTTATTATATTTTAATTAGATGCGTAATTGATTTATTATACTAAAATAATTTTAAATTAATTATTTACTATAATCATAAATAAAATTATTTACTGTAATCATAATTTTAAATAATTAATTACATTTTTTTACCAAAATTTAATTTAGTAATTTTTTAATTAAAAAAGTAAGACGGAATGAGAGAATAAAATGGAAAATAAAATAAAATTGCATAAACGAGAACAAAAAAGAATAAGAATACAGTGAGAAGAATAATTATTTTGTCAGATAATTTAAATAAGTTGACAAATATTTTATTTAAATAATTTTTTTAAAAATATATTATTTATGTGATTGATTATAATAAAAATTAAAAAGACTAAATTAAAAAAATAAGGAAAGACTATAATTATAGATTTTGTAAAATATAAGATTACAATTATAATTAAACTAAAAATTAAATAAGATTGGATGATATAGAAATAGTTAATAGATCGTACATACATAATCCATCTCTTTTGAAATATATGACATTTAAAGTTGGACTACACAAATCAAGATAACCATTAATTTTCATTATTCTTAAATATATTTTTTTTCATTAATATCCTTATCATTATAATATTTTTTTCATCCAAAATCACTCTTAATAATTTGTTATATCCTCTTTGTAATAAATATATATATATAATTAAAAAGAGAAAAATATAATTAGTAAAAAATTAATTAATACAATCTTAAACATTATAAACTGTATATATTTAAAAACAAAATTTTCTCAACAAAAGTCTATTTTGAAATAAAGAGTATATTTTAATATTTATATAATTATATAATATTATATAAGAGAGTTTGCATAAATTCTCTCAAAAACATATGTTTATTTAAAAACTAACTTAATATATAAAAAATATATGTATATTATTTCTATGAAAAACTAGCACGACCATGTAGATTCACACATTAAGATCTATAATTTCTTATGCATAAAACATGATGATCGTAATTACAAAATAAAAAAAAATGTAAGAATAAACTAATAGTATGCATATAATTCAATTTAAAAAATAATAATTTCATCGTACATCTTAATCATAATTTCACACGTTCACACTCATTGATCAATAAATAATCCACTCTTAATACTGACAAATATACCATCTAGGCTAGTTTCATGTGATAAAACCCATTAAATTTTGAACATCAAGAACTACATCTATCATATATTCACACCTGATCTCATAATCGCTCATGATACCATTATGATTAGTCTCATATGATAGGAAAAAATTCTACCAAGTAATGTATACACACCCTTGAAGAAATGATAGAAATCTCCTCCACTTTGAATGTGTCCTAAGTCCAAAATGTAATACCTACACATAAATCATACAGTTTAAAAATACCCCCTTCCAAACTTCACCTGCAATTAATCAGGTAATTCTTAATCACAACATATTTCTTCCTACAATTTCATCTCATTAAAAAAAAAATACACACTTATACATATTCTATTTAGAAATAGTTGTTAGGTAAATCAAGGGATAATAAATTTTGTGCATAAACTTGGTCAACAATAAAGGACAAACATGTTCAACAGAAGGGGAGAACTATGATAAATGAACTTGATCTTTAAGAATTGCATTGAGAGTAGGAAAGAAGTTTTGGTTAATAGATGAAACAATTAAACAACATGTAGAAAAATCATCTTGAAGATTAGTAGACTAACAACTCTATGTTTAATGTGACTTAGATTAGACTAGTTGTCCTTTGATTAAAAAATCTTTTACCGATTGATTTATTCTTCTTGATAATTCAACCATCTCATGAAAAACTACGAAACAACATATTGTATCCACTTCTTTTGCAGAAGCAGAATATTATTCTATGACTTCTATCATTTGTAAGCCGAAATGACTTAAAGAACTCTTATCATGTTTGGATATTAATCATCACAAACCTATAAATTTTTATTATCATAACTAGGTTGCACTTCACATTGCCGTCAATCTTATTTTCCATGAGCATACCAAACATATCGAAATGGACTGCCACTTTATTTATCATGAACTTTTGCGAGGAAGTATTGCTACAAGTCATGTGTCTTCTCATACTCAATTAATAGATATATTCACCAAGACTTTAAGAAACATTCAATTTGATTGTATTTTTTGTATCAAGTTGTACGTTTGTAATCCATATACTCAAACTTAATGAGTAATGAGATATCTCTCTTAATAGTTTTCCAGATATTATATTTGTTATAATTGTAACAGTTGAATAATTGTTATATAAGATTAACGGATAATAAACAAAAAAAAAAATATATATATATATATATATATATATATATATTTTATTTATTTTTAGTTTGGTCAACCATAAAAAGACAAAAATTACATCACAAATTCTTTTTTATATATATATATATATATATATATATATATATATATATATATATAAAACAATTAAATTCATTCAATTAAATCAACAAATTTTCTAAGTTCTTTAATGGATTTATCAAAATGAGTGGTCTAACTTAGTTTAGTATGATCTTAAGTAAAATATAATATAATATCTTGTATAAATTAATTATATGTTAAATTAATGGACAAATAAATTAAGTTTAGTCTAATTAAAAATATATATTAATGTATCTATATTAAAATTAATTAAAAAAGTATGTATTTTTAAAATTAAACTTATTATTAAAATTATTTTTTATTTCAAATATAATGATTAATATATAAATTACAACAAAGTGATTCATTCACTTCTAAAAGAACAGTTAACAATTTAAATTACTTATTTAATATAATAATTTATTTTAATAGTTAAATCTTTAAATAAATAAATATTAAAGATCTATTCTTATATTTACTTTTAAAATAAGTAGATCCTTTATCAAATTAATTTATAATTATATTATATATATATATATATTTATATTTGATAAAATAATATTATTTTTATTAAAAATTAACTATTATTTAATAAAATGGGTTAACTCATGAATTTATGGATAGTCTTGACTAAGTTTATTTAGACCATGGTTTAAATGGATGAAATCAAATTAAATCTAATTTAATTTATGTTACAATTTTTTTAATTTAATCTAATTTATTTCTCAAATATTTCACATTAACTAGTGAGGTTAAACTTAGTTTTACGTTTCTATACTCTACCAACCATCACTTAATTTTTTATTTTTTTTTCAAATTTTGCTTACTAAAAGTAATGAGTGGATTTAAAATGTCTAAGCAAATTATATAAAAAAAAACTACAACTTTTTTTTCATAATTTTTGTTGAGAAAAATCACATAAAATTAAACTTTAACACGGTATTTGATAAATTAGACAAATTTAAAATCGTTAACAAAATGTAAGAGGCTTCGACTATCTTCAATTTAATATTTAGTAAAAAAAATTACTATCACCAAATTGATAAAATACTAAATTTATAAAAAATATTATTTTAATATTTTTTATACTTAAATTTAACATTTAAGAATATTGTGTATCATTATAAATTTTTATATTTTTTAAAATTAAAATTAAAATTATTTTTTAAATTATAGGGATCTAAACCAAATTAGAAATATGAGTTTACGCGTACTACCCTTTTTGCATCCAAATCTGTACTCTTTCTTTGGTTTTAAAATGTATCAAATAAATATACTTCACTCTATTTGAATTAATAACCAATATGATTTTCGAATATTATTGGTTTTGAATTTTAAAATCCATTATGAGCTAATAAATAACTAGGAGTGTTTATAAATGTAGATTATTAATTTTGAAAAAAATATTTTTCTATTTAGACATTCCTCTTTCACATAAAAAATTTGTAATGTGATTTAATACTATCCTTTCTAATTTTGGATCATGATGTATCATCTAATTTGAAGGCATATTTTATTTTACCGCACGTGAAGTGAAGTTCGCTAGAAAGGAAAAATTTTAAGTGGATCTCGAGATCTTGACTAATTTTAAGATAAAATATATTTAAAATTTTTAATAAAACAATTAATTATATGTTAAATTATATTTATTATAAATTATTCATGTCATAATTAATAAATAGTATTATACAAAAAATTTAAACGTATACATAAAATTAATATTATTCTCCTAATATATGAAGACAATCCAATATAAATAAATAACTCGTAGATAACTTCTTTTATGAATATAATAATAATAATAATAATAAAATTATTTGTATTTTTTTTTCTGTAAACCGTGAACTATCTCTCTTTTTTCTCTAAACCACGTTATCTATGAATTGTTTAAATAAAGTGGATTGTGTTCCAACCCCATCCACGTACGTATATTTAAAAGACAAATAAAGATGGGTCATGTTGTTGATAAAGGATGGACATCACCAATAATTCAATTTACAGCATGCAAAATGTGCTACTTTGAATTTATGGTGTATCTATAAATTGTCCATCCCAACGGCCACCCAGCAAGTCCACACCTTCATACACTCTCTTACACCACCAGAGAGGCCGATTTTTCTCTCACCACCACATCACAAAACATTTATTCCCACTTTCCACATTTTACCAATCAACAAACCTAACATGGCCTCCTTTGTTCTTGGGACTAGTTTCCTTCCTCTCTTACATTCTCATGATAAGTACTGCTGCTCCCCAAATATTTCAAACATCACCACCAAAATCGCAGTCACCATTCCAGAAAGGGTATGATTATTAATTCTAGCATCATTTGAAAATATTACTCGAGTCTATAATGATAACACTAATCCGCATTTGATTCTCATTTTCAGATGAACCAAGTGATAGTTGCTGGAGAAAACAATGTTTGTGAGGAAGTGGACAACACAGTGGTGAAAAAAAGCTACGAACCAAATCAGCAGTTGCGGAGATCTCTAAATTTCTCTGGAGAGAAGCCATCCACGCCAGTATTGGACACCATTTATTATCCACTACACATGAAAAATCTATCCGTTCAGGTAGCTAGAGAAGAATAACTTGTAGTTGGACTTAATGAAATTTCTTGCTTTATGCTAGGTCCCATCTAAACAAAAAAGTTTATTTTATTTTATTTTTCAATTTGTATGGGAGGAGTACTTTTGCAATGATATCCAATGCTTAAATATTGAAACTATTGGCTCTTCCATGCACAGTTTAATATCATTTTTATTTCTCTCGAGATTTGTAATTGAGTACGATAATTGCAACATTATAATCAGGAACTTGAGGAGCTAGCTGATGAACTCCGTGAAGAGATTGTTTATACAGTGTCAAAGACTGGAGGGCATTTAAGTTCAAGCTTGGGTGTGACAGAGTTAACTGTGGCGCTTCATCATGTATTCAACACTCCTCAGGACAAGATCATTTGGGACGTTGGTCATCAGGTAGGTACCCAAAAAATATAAATAAATAGTACTAAATAAGACAATATCATAGTTTCGAACCAATGACCAATTTGGTGGACTCACAGGCCTATGCTCATAAGATTTTAACGGGAAGAAGATCCAAAATGCACACAATTCGACAAACTGGTGGACTTGCAGGCTTTCCAAAGAGGGATGAGAGTGTCCATGACGCTTTTGGTGTTGGTCATAGTTCTACTAGCATTTCAGCTGGTTTAGGTAACAAACGATATATAATACTTGTCTTCAATTATAATTAATTACTGCGGCACTAAGTTCATGCATCAAATTTTAATAATCTGTTAAAACATGTACTGTTTATTAAACATGAATAATTAATTATAAACAATTAATATTCTGCGAAAGCGATATACGCAAGAATTATTGCTTGTATGAGTGGATCATCCACGAACTTTTTATGTATTGTCTTTATCATAGTTGGCCATATTTATTTGTGGACTAAAAATGATTAGCTTTTACATTTTTAATAATCAATTTTCACGTGAGTATCAGGAATGGCAGTGGCCAGAGACTTGATTGGAAAGGATAACCATGTGATTTCAGTGATCGGTGACGGAGCCATGACGGGAGGACAAGCTTACGAGGCAATAAACAACGCTGGTTTTCTTGATACCAATCTTATTATAATCTTAAATGAAAATGAACAAGTTTCCCTTCCCACTGCCACCGTTGATGGCCCTGCTCAACCGGTTGGAGCTCTTAGTAGAGCCCTCGCGAGGTTACATAACAGTTCTAAGTTCCATCAACTACGTCAGATCGCAAAGGTATTGAATTATGAAGCCTGTTTTTAACCACACAATATTTATTAAAGAAAAAGCTAAATATATAATAACTATATATATTGAAAAGAAAAATGTATGCATGCATAAAATATCCTGCAGATAATTCTACACTTGTACTGGAACTAATATTTGGTGAGAAATGAACAGGGCACGAAGAAAAATGGAGGCCAAGTACATGAATTTGCATCTAAATTGGATTCCTACATTCGAGGGATGGTAGGTGGCACTGGTGCTTGTTTATTTGAAGATCTAGGGCTCTTCTACATTGGCCCAGTAGATGGGCATGATTTGGAAGACCTTGTGCACATCTTGAAAAGTGTCAAGGGCATGCCGACACTTGGACCTGTTCTCATTCATGTAATCACTGAGAAAGGAAAAGGTTATCATCCGGCTGAAGTTGCTCCTGACAAGATGCACGGTAATTAAGTTGCTACATATATATTACTAGCCTTATACAATTATTAACTTGTACTTCATTGTGTCCATAACATTTACATAGTGCAATTGGCGTAATGTGTTCTATTTATTTAATGTAGGTGTTGTGAAATTTGATCCCAAGTCAGGGAAGCAGTTGAAATCCAAAACTAGTACGCGGTCTTACACACAGTATTTTGCAGAGTCTTTAATAGCAGAAGCTGAAGTTGATGACAAAATTGTTGCCATCCATGCTGCAATGGGAGGGGGCACCGGGCTTAACTTGTTTCAAAAGCGCTTCCCCGAAAGATGTTTTGATGTTGGGATAGCAGAACAACATGCTGTAACCTTTGCTGCAGGCCTTGCTGCTGAGGGCTGTAAACCCTTTTGCGCAATTTACTCTTCCTTTCTACAAAGAGGCTATGATCAGGTCAGAGGTCATGAAACTTTGTGTTGGGAAATAAGGTCGGATAAGATGGAATAATAATAATACACCAATGTGAGATCAATAAAAGACACGAATATTTGTTAACCCAGTTCGGATTAAATCCTACATCTGGGGGCGAACCAAGCCAGGAGAATGAACTAGAATAAGAGGATAAACCGAATGTTACAATTCACACAAGCCCGTATGAATACACTCTCTCTACTCTTTCTTCACACTTGGATTGGATACAAATGAGGTTACAAAATGAGGTATTTATAGCCAAACAAATCCTTCTTGAGAGGAAGCTCCCTTCCTTTGACCAGGAAGTTGCAAGGAAGCTCCCTTCCTTTGACCAGGAAGTTGCAAGGAAGTAGCCTTCCTTTGACCAGGAAGTTGCAAGGAAGTAGCCTTCCTTTGACCAGGAACTTACGAGGAAGTTCCCTATCTTTGACCAGGAAGTTGCAAGGAAGCTCCCTTCCTTTGACCAGGAAGTTGCAAGGAAGTAGCCTTCCTTTGACCGATCTTTACACCTCAACAATCTCCCACTTGAAGATTGGTCAACCTGTTCATCTCTGCTCTTGGTTCTGCTAAGTCTGCCTGTTTTAATCATCAAGGCCAGTCGAAGCTACACACAGCTTCAACTTTTCCAAAGTTACCGCCTTGTACCGTTTTGTTCCATCTGATTCCTCCTTGACCCGATAGACCCATCTGTTTTGAAGAGCCTTCTTTCCTTGTGGGAGATCACACAAATCCCATGTGTGGTTCTTCTTCAACGAGTTCATCTCGTCTTCCATCGCAAGCTCCCACTTGCTCTTGTGGGCATCTTTAACTGCCTCTGCATAACAGTCGGGTTCCCCAGAATCAGATAAAAGTAGGTAATAAAGAGAAGGGGAGTACCTATCCGGGGCCCTTCTCATCCTCGGTTCTCGGCCCAGTGCCAGAGGCGTGCTGCTCTCAGCAATCGGTTCATCTGATTCTGGTTCTGCCTCTTCTTCTGTACGCTCGATCTCATCTATCTGAGCTCCCACTGAATCTGCTGGTCTCATGATTCCGGTATTTGAAATATCGAGACCAACATACTCCTGCATGGTCTTGTCATCGTCCAGGTATTCCTTCCGGTCCTTGTACATTATGCCTTCATTGAACACCACATTACGACTGCGAATAATTTTCCGATTTTGATCATCCCAAAATCTATACCCAAATTCGTCAGTCCCATATCCAATGAATGTACATTTGACGGACTTAGCATCCAGCTTTGTCCGGTCGTCATTCAAAACGTAAGCCAAACAACCAAAGGTACGTAAGAAAGAGAGATCAACTTTCTTACCACTCCAGACCTCTTCTGGAATTTTGTTGTTCAGTGGGACAGAAGGCCCCCGGTTGATCAAGAAAGCGGCCGTGCTGACTGCTTCTGCCCAAAACATCTTGGGCAGTCCACTCTTCAATCGCATGCATCTCGCACGCTCATTCAGTGTTTTGTTCATCCTCTCCGCAATGCCATTTTGTTGAGGTGTCCCTGGGACCGTCTTCTGCATCCGGATCCCATGATCAGCGCAGTATTCTTTGATGGCTTCACTGTTGTACTCGCCACCGTTGTCGGATCTGAGACATTTCACTTCCAGACCTGTCTCTTTCTCCACGAGTGCTCTCCATCTCCTGAAAGTATCAAAGGCTTCGGATTTTCTTTTCAAAAAGTACACCCATACCTTTCTTGTGCAGTCATCGACGAACGTCATGTAGTACATCGATCCTCCAAGAGATGTCACCGGTGCTGGCCCCCATAAGTCAGTGTGCACGAGCTCCAGTTTTTCTGTCTTTGGAGCTCTTCCGGTGGTTATGAAGCTCACTCGCTTCTGCTTTCCAAGCACGCATTGCTCGCAGAGACCCACGTCCACTGACTCCAACTCGGGCAAAAGTCCTCTCGACTTTAGTACCTTCATTCCTTTTTCGCTCATGTGGCCCAAGCGACTGTGCCATAAGTGCGATTGTGAGACAACTCCTGCCAGGAGAATGTTTGAGCTGGATCTACTCGCCGTGTAAAGCGTTCCTGACTTCAGCCCTCTTGCCAAAGTCATAGCTCCTCGGCTGACCTTCCACTTTCCGTCTCCAAACATTGTGTGGAAGCCGTCATTGTCTAGCTGTCCAACTGAGATGAGATTCCTCTTCAGTCCTGGAATGTGTCTCACATCACGTAGGGTCCAACATGACCCATTTGCGGACTTGATCTGCACATCTCCCTTCCCTACAATTTTTAAGGATTTGTTGTCTGCAAGATATACCAAGCCAAAATCACCTGCGGTGTATGGCTCCATGATGTCTCTGCTATCGCATGAGTGAAATGAGGCCCCCGAGTCCACGATCCAGTCATCGAGCGAGCTTCTCACACTCAACAAGAGTGCATCCGCCGTGTCCTCCGTCGCGGCATTGGCTGTCCGGCCTTCTTTGTCTTTCCTTGGTGCCCGGCATTCGCTTTTCATATGCCCGGGCTTCTCGCAGTTCCAACACACCATCTCTTTCTTGCCTTTATTCCTTCCCCTGGATTTTGACCTCCCACGGATTTTCCCTCGTGTTTCGGGTCTCCTCTCGGACTCTGTATGTAGGGCTGAGCCAGACGACCCACCCGCCTGATTTCTGCGGGTCTCCTCGTTCAACATCATATCTCTTATGTTGTCGAACTTCATCTTCTCCTTGCCAGAAGAAGTGCTCACCGAAGTAACAGCCACGTCCCAACTGTCCGGCAATGATGAGAGCAAGATTAGGGCTTTTACCTCATCATCAAACGAAATATCCACCGATACCAACTGCATAGTGAGTTGGTTGAAATCGTTGAGATGATCGGCCACTGACTTTCGCTCCTCCATTTGCAATTTGAACAGCTTTTTCATCAGCATCACCTTGTTTATTGCTGATGTTTTTTCATACATATCGGCGAGTATCTGCAAGACCTCCTTCGTGCTTTTTGCTCCCTTCACATGGTAGGCGACGTTCCGAGAGAGCGAAAGAATTATAGCGCTCATCGCCTTCCGATCGAGCACCTTCCATTCATCATCGCTCATCTTCTCGGGTTTTTCCCCAAGAGGTGCGTAGAGGTCCTTCCCGTACAGGTAAGCCTCCATTTGCATTCGCCAGAATCCAAAGTCGGAACCATTGAACCGTTCGACTTGAATCTTTCCCTCCATCTTATCTCCAACCTCCTGGCTCTGATACCAGTTGTTGGGAAATAAGGTCGGATAAGATGGAATAATAATAATACACCAATGTGAGATCAATAAAAGACACGAATATTTGTTAACCCAGTTCGGATTAAATCCTACATCTGGGGGCGAACCAAGCCAGGAGAATGAACTAGAATAAGAGGATAAACCGAATGTTACAATTCACACAAGCCCGTATGAATACACTCTCTCTACTCTTTCTTCACACTTGGATTGGATACAAATGAGGTTACAAAATGAGGTATTTATAGCCAAACAAATCCTTCTTGAGAGGAAGCTCCCTTCCTTTGACCAGGAAGTTGCAAGGAAGCTCCCTTCCTTTGACCAGGAAGTTGCAAGGAAGTAGCCTTCCTTTGACCAGGAAGTTGCAAGGAAGTAGCCTTCCTTTGACCAGGAACTTACGAGGAAGTTCCCTATCTTTGACCAGGAAGTTGCAAGGAAGCTCCCTTCCTTTGACCAGGAAGTTGCAAGGAAGTAGCCTTCCTTTGACCGATCTTTACACCTCAACACTTTGGAGAACTGATCCAAACTATCTTTTTTCTCTCTTTAAGTTGTTTGCATGCTGGAAATTATTAGTGGAATCAACCCTGTGACACTTTGGCTTTCTGGGGGTCAATGTGGTCCATGCAGGTAGTACATGATGTGGACCTTCAAAAGCTTCCTGTTAGATTTGCGTTGGACAGAGCTGGCCTAGTTGGTGCTGATGGTCCAACTCACTGTGGAGCATTTGATACAACATTCATGGCTTGTTTGCCAAACATGGTGGTCATGGCTCCGTCTGATGAGACTGAACTGATGCACATGGTAGCCACTGCTGCAGCCATAGATGATAGACCTAGTTGCTTTAGGTACCCAAGAGGGAATGGTATAGGTTCCATTCTTCCACCCAACAATAAGGGCACACCACTAGAGGTGCTTATTTGAACTAGTCCTTTGAAATCCCCCTAATGTTTTTGTTTTTATTTTTCCTAAATTGTTTGCATATTTCTAATTGACCACTGGAATATAGGTGGGCAAAGGAAGGGTATTAAAGGAGGGAAGTAGGGTGGCTCTTGTTGGTTATGGAACAATGGTCCAAAGATGTATGGAAGCGAGTAAGGTTCTTGAAGCTCATAGCATCTCAACAACTGTGGTTGATGCACGATTTTGTAAGCCTCTGGATGGAGATTTGATGAGGCAACTGGCTAGAGAGCATGAGATTCTTATCACCGTGGAAGAGGGATCTGTTGGAGGATTTGGTTCTCATGTTTCTCATTTTCTAGGCTTAAATGGTCTTCTTGATGGTAATCTTAAGGTGAGACTTTTTTCTGCTACCCTTCTTTGTATGAAGAGGGATTGTGTATATTAATTTATTAATTAAGAGATGGTTTTTTGGTATGGTACAGTGGCGAGCCATGACATTGCCTGACATGTATGTAAACCATGGATCTCAGAAAGATCAAATTGAAATGGCAGGGCTGAGTTCAAACCACATAGCAGCTACAGCTTTGTCATTAACCAATGTGAATTGGGATAGTCGTTTTCTTCTCGGCCTGCAGATATGAATGTTAACACAAGTTGTGGGTTGAGTCCCCTAAATAAATACATGTACATTAGTGGCAATGATATCATCAATAGTATGACAATAAAATTACAATGATTTGGTGTAAACAAACAAGTTCTTCATCCTTTATCATTTCAGAGTATTTTATAACTAACCAAGGAAAAGTTAAAGAGATAACTAAGAACTTAAAAAAAAAAAAAAAAATATATATATATATATATATATATATATATATATATATATATATATATATATTAGTGGAAGTTTTTATAAGAAGATTTGTCCGAAATTTATTCATCAATTAATTTTGTGATGAAGAATAAAAGCAGGAAAGAGATGCAAAAGCACGAAATTTGCAATCGTTTTGATTTGAGCATATATATATTCTTTTAATATGAGTTTACATCTTATATTTTCCACTCTAATCAGCTAAGATATATGAAATTTTTTTGTTGGTTTTAACATGTAACAAAATTATTCTTTTGTTGATGGTTTTTAAGTTCATGTTTAGGAAATTTATTTTGTATGAACTATAATCGATTTTCTTTATTAGATTACATTAATATTAATATTATATATATATATATATATATAAAATAATCAGAAACGATCACAAAATAGTATTGTTACTAATAATATAATTCCTTATTTTTTTCTTTCATTAAACCAAATGATTCTATTCATTTTTTTCACATTTTTTTCTTCAAAAATTTCATTTTATTTTTTCTTTTTCTACCAAATAATTCCTTTGTTTGAAAATATAGGAGAAACATATATGAGATTTTGGTTACAAAATTTTGTCATTTATAAAATTTAAGATTATATTAATTTTTTATTAATTATATTATTATATTTTTAATTATATTTATTAGTAGAGAGAAAATAATAATTAAGAATAATTTTGAATAGAGAATAACATTAACAAGGTAAAGAAAGTTCTACAGGAATTAAAATAAATATTTTATTATAAATTTTATAAATGAATAATTTAAAATTAAAAAATATTTATATAAATAACTTTAATTAAATTTAAAAAAAATTATATAATTTTTTAATAATATATGTATTTTTATTTTTAAATAATTTTTGTTATTAATTCTTTTTAAAAATTTCTTAAATATTTTTAAAAATAATTACTTATAAAAATAATTTAAAAATATAAATAAACATTTTATTATAAATTTCATATATAAATAGTTTAAAATTAATATATATATATATATATAATTTAATTAATTTTTTAAATAATTGATATAAAAAATTAGAATAAAATATTTATTTTGATTTTTCAATAGATTGACAGCATCCAACCATTAGAAGATGAGACGATAATGATGATTAAATAGGGGCACGTGTTCTCCTTGCACAAAGTTGTTGGGAGGCGAGAAATAACACGTTTAGAAGGAAATGCATGATGTTATGTATCCTCGTACGAAACTAATGAGGTCAGGATAAGACAAAGTGGGTCCCAAATCAATATTAATCACTTCATCTCTTATTTATGAAGATGCATATGCAAAAATAGTCTTTTTTAAGAATGGTTTAGAAATAAATATATTATTTTAATATATATATATATATATATATATATATATATATATATATAAATTATTTAACATTGTTAAGAAAGAGAAAAATGCACTTTTTATACTTATGTTTTTGTATCTTTATAATTTAAAATAAATCAATTGGGTATTCTAATTTTTGTAAATATATGATTTTAATTTTTTATATTTAACTTTAACATTAAATTATATTTTTTATTTTAAAATTTTGATAAAAAAACTAAACGTGATTTAAATTATTATTTATATTTAAATTAGATATTTAGTGATATTTTTAGTTAAAATTAATTATTTTTTTAATTTGAAAACTAATTTATTAATTTTTAAAACATAAATACTGAAATTAGAAAAATTATAAAAATAAAAATACTATTATTTTAAAAAAATGTATACAAATAATTTTTTTATAATTTTAAATAATTTATATGAAAATAAGATTTTTATTTATAATCAACTTTCGTAAACTTTTGATGATATAAGAAAGAGGTTTCAGTCCTCGTATACCTTGTCCTATTTATTCGTCAATGTCTTGAGCTAACTTCTTTTTCTATATTTTGTTCTATTTATGAAGAGAATATTCAATCCCTTCCTTATGCTTTTACAGTAAGGAGGTACTTCCATTATATAAAATGTATACTGTATCCAAGGTGACCTTATTAAAATAAGTAAACACTAATTTTAATTTGTTGGTTAGTGGATCATTAATAACATATTTTAGTGTGTAAATTATTAACTTTTTTTTATATTATAAGTTTAATATATTTTTTATTTTTAAACATGTGTCATTTAATATTAAGATACAATGAATATTCATTTTTATTATTTTTAATAAATTATTATATTTTTCTTTAATATCTTTATCATCTTAATATTTTATCCATCCAAAATTATTACTTTTAATTTTTGATTTTTTTATAATAAATATAATTAAAAATTAAATATATAATTAATAATAATAATAATAATAATCAATCTAATCTGTAACTTTATTATGGAAACAGTTTTTTTCAAAACACTGACAATTATTTAGAAATAAGAGAGAACCAACTTTCCTTTCTATGTGTTCCAATTTTCAATGAAAATAAGTAAGTAAAAATATTTTATGTTATTTGACACATTAAGAAAGAAAGAGAAATAAATAATGCTCCGTCCATTCTTAAACTCTTGATATTTTAGTTTTTTATTAAATTTATTTTCAAACATTGTTATATTACAATTTTCAAATGTCATAACTTTTTCTATAGAATGAGCTAATAGTATATTTTTTATATAGGATGAGTCAATAGTGTATATATTTTTTTAATGTAAATGATCTAATAATATATTTTTTATATTTTTATAATACAATTATTAAATGAATAATATTTTTATTATATATTAATTATATAATTTAATTAGTTTAATTTATATTCATATTGAATTTTAAATTTATAAATTTATTATTCAAAGATATTTTTAGTAGTAAATCTCATTTTAATTTATTCTTGTATTATTTAGTAGATATCTTAGTATCAACAAAGAAAACCTTGTTTAGTTTTTAGTTTAATGATAAATTCCATACAAATAATTTTAAAAATTAGGATTTAGAGTTTAAAAAACTAATTTATTATTATTATTATTTTATATATTCGGAGAGTTATTGTACAATATCTATATTAAAAATCTTACTTTTTATTAATATAAGATCTTAAAAGTAATCAAGTTTATATTCAAAATTTATTGAAAGATTTAACAACAAAATTGCCTCGTTTGATAAATTCTAATAAATAAAATTCAAGCAAATCTAAGTCAGAAGATGCAATTGACTTGGATTTACAGTAACATGTCAAAGAATCCATCCCTCATGAATTGGATCTTTCTGCCATGTCCTCCTCTTCCCAACTATTTATTTACATCGAGCATTGATATTGATGTCCTCACATACGTACAAACTCATGTTTGGTGACCACAAAACAAAAGTTCAGTTGCCACAATAACATCATCATCATTTAAAATATTTTTCTAACATATATTTTCTCTTCATTATTTGAAATATATATACAACTAGAAAAGAAAAAAAAAAACAATACTTTCCATTGCTTTTTTCGGAAAATAAAATAATCATTAAACTAAAGAATTTTGATTATTATTGACTTTATTTAACTATAAAATAAACGAGTTTACGTACTACCATTTTTTCCATCCAGATTTGAACTCGTTCTTTGGTTTTAAAATTAAAATCTATACAACCTATAAATTTATCTTATCATTTGAATTGATGACGTCATCCATTCAATTTGAATGGACATTCCATTAAACTGCGCGTGATATGAAACCCAGGTGTAAAATGTGAAACTTCAAGTCTTCAACTTGAAAACAATGTACCATGAATCTATGATATGATATGTCTATAAATTGTCCATCCCAACCACAACCCTGCAAGTGCAAACCTTCATACACTCTCTTACACCACCAGAGAAGCCAATTTTTCTCTCCTCACCACATATAACAAAACATTTCTTCCCACTTTCCACATTTTAACAATCAACCAACTTAACATGGCTTCCTTTGTTCTTGGGACTAGTTTCCTTCCTCTCTTACATTCTCATGATAAGTACTGCTGCTCCCCAAATATTTCAAACACCACCACCAAAATCTCAGCCACCATTCCGCAAAGGGTATGGTTTATAATTCTAGGATCATTAAATTTCAAAAGGTAAATTACTAGTGGAGTCTAGGATTATATCACTTATTGGTATTTTATTCTCATTTTCAGATGAATCAAGTCATAGCTGCTGGAAGAGACAATGTTTGTGAGGACGTGGAAACCACAACGGTGAAGAAAAACTACGAACCAAATCCACAGTTGCGGAGATCTCTGAATTTCTCAGGAGAGAAGCCATCCACGCCAGTATTGGATACCGTTAATTATCCAATCCACATGAAAAATCTATCCATTCAGGTAGCTAGAGAAGAATAATAACTTGGGAGTTCGTCTTAATTTATTTCTTGCTTTTGCTTGGTCCTATCTTTACTGTCTTTAAAATGTTTTTTTTACTCCGTTTTTTATGTGAAGAGTAGTATTGCAATGTTATTCACTGCTTAAATAATAAAACTTTTTGCTCTTACATGCAGTTTCCTATCGTTTTTATTGATCTTGAGATCTGTAATTGAGTATGATAATCGTAACATAATATTATAATCAGGAACTAGAGGAGCTAGCTGATGAACTCCGTGAAGAGATTGTTTATACAGTGTCAAAGATTGGAGGGCATTTAAGTTCAAGCTTGGGTGTGACAGAGTTAACTGTGGCGCTTCATCATGTATTCAACACTCCTCAAGACAAGATCATTTGGGACGTTGGTCATCAGGTAGGTACCCAAAAAATATAAATAAATAGTACTAAATAAGACAATATCATAGTTTCGAACCAATGACCAATTTGGTGGACTCACAGGCCTATGCTCATAAGATTTTAACGGGAAGAAGATCCAAAATGCACACAATTCGACAAACTGGTGGACTTGCAGGCTTTCCAAAGAGGGATGAGAGTGTCCACGACGCTTTTGGTGTTGGTCATAGTTCTACTAGCATTTCAGCTGGTTTAGGTAACAAACGATATATAATACTTGTCTTCAATTATAATTAATTACTGCGGCACTCAGTTCATGCATCAAATTTTAATAATCTGTTAAAACATGTACTGTTTATTAAACATGAATAATTAATTATAAACAATTAATATTCTGCGAAAGCGATATACGCAAGAATTATTGCTTGTATGAGTGGATCATCCACGAACATTTTATGTATTGTCTTTATCATAGTTGGCCATATTTATTTGTGGACTAAAAATGATTAGCTTTTACATTTTTAATAATCAATTTTCACGTGAGTTTCAGGGATGGCAGTGGCCAGAGACTTGATTGGAAAGGATAACCATGTGATTTCAGTGATCGGTGACGGAGCCATGACGGGAGGACAAGCTTACGAGGCAATAAACAACGCTGGTTTTCTTGATACCAATCTTATTATAATCTTAAATGAAAATGAACAAGTTTCCCTTCCCACTGCCACCGTTGATGGCCCTGCTCAACCGGTTGGAGCTCTTAGTAGAGCCCTCGCGAGGCTACATAACAGTTCTAAGTTCCATCAACTACGTCAGATCGCAAAGGTATTGAATTATGAAGCCTGTTTTTAACCACACAATATTTATTAAAGAAAAAGCTAAATATATAATAACTATATACTACAATAAAATAGAATATTTCTGAAAGATTTTTACCGATCAATTTATAACCTTCGAAAGATGAGTTATTACCGACAAAAATTATAATCGGATATAGAATTTGGTCTTAATTACGAATATATCTCATCAAGTAAAATAATAATTAGTTACCGACGGATATATCTGTCAGGTAAATGTATCGGTAAATTAATAATTAATTACCAACGGATATATCCGTTGATAAATCCGTTAGTAAATTAACAATTAATTACCGATGAATATATCCGTTGATAAATTAACAATTATTTACCGACAAATATTTCAGTCGATAAATCCATAAGTAAATTAACAATTAATTACCGACGGATATATCTATTGGTAAAATTATATAATAATTACTTAATATATTCTAATTTAATTATTCACCTAATTAAAAAATTAAATATTTTTTATTTAATAATTTAATTTAATTATAATTAGATTAATTTATAATAATTTATTAAATTAAATAATTTTAAAAAATAAATATTTAATTGTATATAAATATAATTTATTTATAAATTATTATAAAAAAATTTTAATAGTTTAATAGTTCGAGTATCAACTTCTAACTTGCTGAAAATAAAAATATTATCAACCAATTTTGACCCACAATCAATTCAATATTTTTTTGAGTGGTATACTGAAAAGAAAAATGTATGCATGCATATCCTGCAGATAATTCTACACTTGTACTGGAACTAATATTTGGTGAGAAATGAACAGGGCATGGAGCAAAATGGAGGCCAAGTACATGAATTTTTATCTAAATTGGATTCCTACATTCGAGGGATGGTTGGTGGTGCTGGTGCTTGTTTATTTGAAGATCTAGGGCTCTTCTACATTGGCCCAGTAGATGGGCATGATTTGGTAGACCTTGTGCACATCTTGAAAAGTGTCAAGGGCATGCCGACACTTGGACCTGTTCTCATTCATGTAATCACTGAGAAAGGAAAAGGTTATCATCCAGCTGAAGTTGCTCCTGACAAGATGCACGGTAATTAAGTTGCTACATATATATTACTAGCCTTATACAATTATTAACTTGTACTTCATTGTGTCCATAACATTTACATAGTGCAATTGGCGTAATGTGTTCTATTTATTTAATGTAGGTGTTGTGAAATTTGATCCCAAGTCAGGGAAGCAGTTGAAATCCAAAACTAGTACGCGGTCTTACACACAGTATTTTGCAGAGTCTTTAATAGCAGAAGCTGAAGTTGATGACAAAATTGTTGCCATCCATGCTGCAATGGGAGGGGGCACCGGGCTTAACTTGTTTCAAAAGCGCTTCCCCGAAAGATGTTTTGATGTTGGGATAGCAGAACAACATGCTGTAACCTTTGCTGCAGGCCTTGCTGCTGAGGGCTGTAAACCCTTTTGCGCAATTTACTCTTCCTTTCTACAAAGAGGTTATGATCAGGTCAGAGATCATGAAACTTTGGAGAACTGATCCGAACTATCCTTTTTCTTTCTTTAAGTTGTTTGCATGCTGGAAATTATTAGTGAAATCAACCCTATGACACTTTGGCTCTCTGGTGGTCAATGTGGTCTATGCAGGTAGCACATGATGTGGACCTTCAAAAGCTTCCTGTTAGATTTGCGTTGGACAGAGCAGGCCTAGTTGGTGCTGATGGTCCAACTCACTGTGGAGCATTTGATACAACATTCATGGCTTGTTTGCCAAACATGGTGGTCATGGCTCCGTCAGATGAGACTGAGCTGATGCACATGGTAGCCACTGCTGCAGCCATAGATGATAGACCAAGTTGCTTTAGGTACCCAAGAGGAAATGGTATAGGTTCCATTCTTCCACCCAACAATAAGGGCATACCACTAGAGGTTCCATTCTTCAACTAGTCCTTTTAAATCTTATAAATTTTCTTCTTTTCTTTTTTTGTAAATTGCTTGCATTTTTCTAATTGACAATTGAAATATAGGTGGGCAAAGGAAGGGTATTAAAGGAGGGAATTAGGGTGGCTCTTGTTGGTTATGGAACAATGGTCCAAAGTTGTATGGAAGCGAGTAAGGTTCTTGAAGCTCATGGTATCTCAACAACTGTGGTTGATGCACGATTTTGTAAGCCTCTGGATGGAGATTTGATGAGGCAACTGGCTAGAGAGCATGAGATTCTTATCACTGTGGAAGAGGGTTCTGTTGGAGGATTTGGTTCTCATGTTTCTCATTTTCTTGGCTTAAATGGTCTTCTTGATGGTAAACTTAAGGTGAGAATTTGTTTTCTGCTACCCTTTGTATGTACATGGATTGTGTATAATGTATTAGTTAAGCGATGCTTTCTTGATATGGCACAGTGGCGAGCCATGACATTGCCTGACATGTATATAAATCATGGATCACAGAAAGATCAAATTGAAATGGCAGGGCTGAGTTCAAACCACATAGCAGCTACAGCTTTGTCATTAACCAATGTGAATTGGGATAGTCGTTTTCTTCTTGGCCTACAGATATGAATCTTAGCACAAGTTGAGGGCTGAGTGTCCTGAATTGATACATGTACATTAGTAGCGATGATTTCATCAATAGTATTACAATAAAATAAGTACAATGTTTTGGT